ATGACGGGCCAAATCCACAAAACGGGTTTTATACTGAGTAACAATCATACTGCCCTGCTGTAGACGCTCAAACTGACGGCGATGCTCCTCTCTCAATGTGATAGGCAGAAACATTTCCAGGAAGGGCTGAGAGAAGTGGTCCCAAGTAAGAGCATGCGATCAAGCTGATCTGGTCAACAAATAATCTCTCCACCATTTCTTGGCAGAACCTGACATCTGAAATACAGCAAAATCGACCCCATTGGTCTCCACTATACCCATGTTCCGTAGCACCTCATGACAGCTGTCAAGATACTCCTCGGGATCCTCTGAAGGAGCACCACTGAAGTGAACTGGGAAGAGCTTGGTAAACCTGTCCAATCTCCATAAAGCCTCGGAAGACATAGTTGACCCATCACCAGCCCGTACCGCAACAACTTACTGAACTACCCCGACTAGATAAGCTGCTGAGTCTGATACTGGGGAGTCATCTGCTCCGTAGTGTGAGTAGTAGGAGTCTGTGCTCCTCCTCCAGCCTGAGAGACGGCTGGTGCCATGGGGAATGCGCTAGTCTGGGCCACGCTCTCCATAAGGCCCACCAAACGGACCAAAGCATCCTGAAGCACTGGGGTGGCAATGAACCCCTCCGAGACCTGAGCTGGTCCGACAGGCGCAGCCTGGGCGGGAACCTCCTCATCAAACACTACCTGAGGCTCCATCGCTGGTGCTGCTGCTCGAGCTCTGGGCTGAGCTCTGCCCTTACCTCGGCCTCTAGCACGACCTCGACCTCGACCTCTGCCCCTCGTAGGATCTACTACTGGAGGCTCTGGCTGCTGCTCAGCTGAAGAAGCGGTATGTATTCTCGCCATCTGCGAGAGAATAAGAGTAAAAGAATTCAATCAGTATTGAGGAAACAAAATCGCACGACAGAGAAGAATAGAAGTGAAATTTGTTCCTAAACTTCATAGCCTCTGGGAGATAAGTACAGACGTCTCCGTACCGATCCCTCAGACTCTACTAAGCTCGCTCGTGAATTGTGAGACCTAGGCAACTTAGTGCTCTGATACCAACTTGTCACGACTCAGAATTCCCACCGTCGGACCGTGATGGCGCCTAACATTTCACTTGCTAGGCAAGCCAACGTTAGAGAATCATTAAGCCACTTCTTATACATTTCAGTAAATAACAACAAATAAGCTATAACGAGTTTAAAGTGAGTGCGGAAATATATAATAGCCTCAATATATATATATATACTACTACCCGGATCTGGAGTCACAATTTACGAACTTCTAAGATTTTTCTACAAGTAAATGTCGGAAAGAAATATAACTGTTTTCGAAAGGAAAGAAACAGTAAAATGCAATGGCTAGAAGGGGACTTCGGGGTCTGCAGATGCTGGAAGATCTACCTTGGGTCTCCTGTCGGATAAATCCACCAGCTAACCTCACGATCATCTCGGACCAGCACCAAAATCTACACAGGAAGTGCAGAGTGCAGTATCAGTACAACCGACCCCATGTACTGGTAAGTGTCGAGCCTAACCTCGACGAAGCAGTGACGAGGCTAAGGCAGGCCACTCACACTACAACATGTATACAGTATATATATAATAAAAGCATAATAGGAAATGTGGAATAGAAGAAAGCAGTAAATTGCAAGAAATACGATAACTCCCGCAGATATATCAACAGTGTTAAGAAATTACCGATCCTTAAGTGCAAAAGAGAATACCGTAAAGCTAACACAACTCAGGGAAACATAAACGCATAGGTTGTTGCGGCGTGCAATCCGATCCCGCCATATCACAATAACACAATCATAGTTCACCTTTATTCCACCAAACAATCCACCCTTATTACACCTGTTGCGGCGTGCAACCCGTTCCCACCATACAGTATAAATTCACCCCTATTCTACCTCAATATACCACCCTTATTCCTCCTGTTGCGGCGTGCAACCCGATCTCACCATATCAATATAACACAATTATAAATTGACCTTTATTCCACCTCAATATACCACCCTTATTTCTCCTGTTGTGGCGTGCAACCCGATCCCACTATTTCAATATTAATTACTATGTATGCACAGAAATTTCACAATCTAAATCACAGAAACCTTTCACAATACTTAAACTCCAAACCGAAACAATTAGAAAACTTGTATACCATGAAAATTCACATAAGTAATACTACACAGCGAGACAAATTCAGAATCTATAACAGAAAGGTACCAGTAAACCAGCTTAAGCAAATAACATGAGATAATGAAACTATGGTAGAACTAATATCATTAATCAGAGGAAATAATGTCTAACACGTAGCAATTAGGCATGGGAATACAAGTAGAGTATGTAACAATTAAGACAGGGAAAGAGACAATATGAGAAAAATGGGAGAAACGGGGAAAACAGGTAAATTGGCGGCGCATAAGTACTCGTCACCTCACATATACGCCGCTCTCATGCATTTCACATAGCAAATAGTCCGAGGGTTCCTAATTCCCGCAAGTCAAGGTTAGACACAACACTTACCTCGCACCAAAGGCCACTCAATGCTCAATTACCGCTTTTCCTCTAGAATCTACCTCCAAACCACGCGTATCTATCCACAAACGATTTGATAATATCAAATATTGCTAAAGAAATCAATTATAATGCATAAATTTAGATTTCTCAATCTTTCCCCCAAAAAGTCAAAAATCGACCCCGGGCCTGCTTGGTCAAAACCCGAGGTACAAACCAAAATTTATTTACCCATTCACCCCCAAGCCCGATTATATAACTTATTCGAAATCCGACCTCAATTCGAGGTCTAAAGTCCAATTATGTAAAAATCCCTAATTCTACCCAAACCCCCAATTTTCACCATGAAAAACCTAGATTTTAGGTTGAAAACTCATGAAATGTAACGGGTAATTGAAAGAAAGTAGGTTAGAATCACTTACCAATGAATTGGGAAGAAACTCTTATGGAAGAATCGCCTCTAGGTCTTTTAGTTTTGAAATTTTTGAAAGAATGGCAAGAATCCCGTAATTGGGACTGTATTTAATAACTGGACGTCAGGTATTCATCGCGTTCGCGTGAATCCTGATGCGTTCGCGAAGAGCAGTGGCTGTCAGGCTTACGCGATCGCGAGTCCCCCATCGCGTCCGCTAAGGCTGCTCCCCCCTGGTTCGCGTTCGTGAACCCGTGCTCGCGTTCACGATGAAGAGATGACTGACCCTTCCCCCAGGTCCTTAAATATACGCGTTCGCAATGAGCTAGTCGTGTTCGCGAAGGGTAAGGCCCCCATCGCTTCTGCGTTCGCGAAGAAGAAAACCTTTCCTAGCCCAGTTCACTCTTCGCGATCGCGGGAATGGTTTCTTTCGCGAAGCACAACGCACCAGAACACCAGCTGCAGCAAAACACCAGATTTGTCCAAGTCCAATTCACCCCGTAGCCTATCCGAAACTCACCCGAGCCCTCGGGGCTCTAAACCAAACATGCATACAAGTCTTATAACATCATACGAACTCGCTCGCGCGATCGAAACACCAAAATAACGCTTAGAACTACGAATAGGACACCAAATCAAAGGAAAATTTTCAAAAAGACTTTAAAACTTCTATTTTCACAACCGAACGTCCGAATCACGTCAAATCAACTCTGTTTCTCATCAATTTTGACAGACAAGTCATAAATATTATAGTGGACTTGTACCGGGCTCCAAAACCAAAATACGAAACCGGTATCAATAAATCCAAACATCAGTCGATTCTTAAATATCATAAATCTTTCAAACTTTCAATTCTCAACAAAAATCAATAACATGGGTTAGGGACCTTCGAATTCGATTTTGGGCATACGCCCAAATCCCAAATTACGATACGGACCCCCGGGACCGTCAAAATACGAATTCGGGTCTGTTTTCTCAAAACGTTAACCGAAGTCAACTCAAATGGTTTTCAAAGTAAAATTTTATATTTTGCACAATTTTTAACATAAAAGCTTTTCGAAAACATGTTTGGACTGCGCACATAAATCGAGAAGGATAAAATGAGATTTTTAAGATTTCAAAGTACAGAAGTGGATTCTAAAACATGAGATGACCTATTGGTCATCACAAATATCCTCTCAACGGTTTCATTCGAGAGTGAGAGAGAGAGTCGGGGAAGAGACGGTTCTTTTAATTCTCACAATGCTTTTGGCTTTCAAGAGCAATTTTTGGATGCAGTAAAAGTTGAACCGTTTTCTATTGTTTAGGAAATTAATTTTTAATGAGAAAAGTGAAGGAAAAATTGCAAAAAGGAGATAATAGATAAATAGAATTGTTGTTCACATAAGGCGCCACATCCTCTTGTCCCTGCTTTATATAATTATATAGATCTTTTGAACTCTAAGCCCCTAACTAATGGCCTAAATATAATCTTTGATTAATAATTATTTTTTATTTCTAGGACATTAACGGGTAGATTTTTCATTAATTCTTTCTTCTTCTTTTTAACTTTTTTTATATCGCTATTCAGTCTTTTTGTTTTTTATCTAGCTAGTTATTTTGCTAATGTGTTGGACTGAACTTTTCTTTTTAGGAAAGTGTTCCTAATTCTTGTGAAATGAGATGGAAAAAATTAACAAAAATTCGTACTGAATGTCATTCTTTTCCATATTAAAGATATGTTAGATTAGGAATCATTTAAAGCCAATTCAGGAAAATATCCATTTTTTTGAAGACTAAAAATTCGAAACAAAATACCAAAATATATCCGACCGGCAGAACGATACCCTATTAGGATTGTGCTAATTACAATATTTCTACGTTTAAATCGGTGTGGCACCCACTATCGTGAAATCCTGGATCCGCACCACTTTAGCATTACCCCAAACATAAGTTGTGTATGATTTTTCCAAAAACAGCTTAATTTAATGCTTTAACAATGCAAGTACTCTTTAATCTTTGACATATCTCATTAGTAGCAGATATGATACTGAAATTCTTGCTGGGAACAATGAAATATATAGTTCAGCTAAAGAACCAGAGAGCAGGGGAAGAGTTGCTGCATAAGATCAGCATAAAAATGAGTACTAATTGTTGAGGAATGACATATACATTAATTCATGAAATGATCATTGTACTTGCCGATGAAAAGGGAAAGAACTAGACCATAGTTGCTGAGTTCTAAGCCAAATAGTAAGCTTGACTATATAATATTACAGCACACCGTTGCATGGTCAACTAATTCAGCAGAAAATGCATAGCATCATAAGCAATCAACCTTAGATTTTAGCAGATTGAGTGATCATGATGTTATAGATAGTACTTAATAATTTGGTGCAACTTGGTTTCTTTTTGGTCTAAGTGTGCCGTACGTGACCAAATTCTTGTTTTTACCATTCACCGGAAACCTCCTCCGAATGCCGGAGCCCAATAATCTGCTCCATTGTCACTCCCAACTTGCAGTGTGCATGATAATGGAACCAGACACAACCCTCTACTCCTTAGGTCCTTCTTTGATTCTTCATGATAATACTTTAGATCATTCAAAAGAACAGAATCAGATATTGTCCTTCGGAAAATTGAAAAAAAAAAGAAGAAGATTCTTTGGGCAGGCAAAAATTAATAATTCAAAGACATAAAGCTACTACCTGCTCACTAGTTGCCATCCTCTTCAGGCAGTTGTCATTCGATAGCTGCAATCAACGTTAAAGAATATAATTGGCAACGCTAATCTTCTCTTATGGTAATAACTTGGAAAAATGACACTGTATAGCCGCTATAAAAAAATAGTCGAAAAGATGTATAGAAATTTATATATTTTATATATATATACACATTATGTATACAAAAATTAACTATTAGATCCAATAAAGCATACCTGACCAGGGTCTTCAGGAAATAAACTATTCCTCTCCTGAACCTGTAAAGCAAAATATAGTACATATTAATCATTAATCAATAAATGCAACTAATACTGACATGTTAATTCAATTTCACATGCCTTATATGCCACAGCTCTAGAGAACACAGATATATCCACATGCATAACAGTGGTCCGCCCACCTTCCACTATCCCATTAAAAGCGGAGACGGAGTATTCAATTTATGTGGCGGTATTTGATTCAATATAAAGTTTAATAAAGAAAGAACAAATTTTAAAATTTGTGATCTAACACAAGTCAAAGGCATTTGTGTGACCATAAATTATCCCATAAACGATAAAATAAAATTTAAACTATTTCTAAATATGAAAATTATTTTTTTGGGACAGACTTACAGAGAAAAATGTGTTAAAAACATAAATTTAGATAGTATAAGTAAAATATATGGTAGGTACAACCTCAAAGTAATACGTACAAAACAAACATTAATTTAAAACAAAAAGTAAAGCTTTAGATAATCTAAAGAGCGACACACAAACTCATATATATATATATATATATATATATATATATATATATATATATATATGGTAAGACTATTATGCTAATTAATCATGGTTAAGTGAGAAATTTATTTTCAAATACATATTATGCAACTATTAACTTGATATAAACACTCTGTACAAACAAGTTTTTATCAACTAAATCATTGTAATAAGACACTAATTACACAAAAATTTGCATATCCCACACTGATCCCATCGCAACACTCAATACAAAAAAAACTGAAATTAATTAGTCGCTAAATCAAATTAATGATGAATTTTTCTATTTAGCTACAGAATTGCCCGTTGTTAATTCCTATTTTCTTTAGTAGTGACTGGTTTGATGGAGTGGTAGGGGGGCGAAGAGCCGAGAAATACGCCACTTTCTCTTTAAGGGGGAGTTTGATTTTTAAACCAAACTAAATTAAGGGGGCGATTTTTAATTTTCTTACAGATTGTTGATGTTGCTGCCTCATGTTTCCTGATCCACTGCCCAGGTACGGCAAGCTAAGGGCCTGCAATTTTCAAGGGCGTTGAAATTAAGAGAATTGGAATATATATTTTTAGAACTTCAATAACTAAAAAGCATGTCTGAAGACTGAATTTTTAACTTTATATGTACATTTACGCCATCACTGCGTTTCATGGTAGTTTGGGAAAATGAAGGAGAGAAGAAATGTCACCTCAATTTGGCTCTGAAGGAATCTGATGTACCCTATAGCTTCTAACAGGACAGAAGCTGTGTCAGTCTGAAAAAGAAAAACACATATTGAAAGGAAAAAAAATTAAGAGTGAGAAGATAAAATTTATTTTTCTTGTTAATAAATAATACTCCCTCAGTTTCAATTTATGTGAACTTATTTTTTTTTTTTAGTCTGTGCCAAAAAAATGACATTTTACTTATTTAGAAACAATTTACCTTTATGCAATGATTTATAGCCACACAAAATATATGTGCTTCATTTTAAACCACAAGTTCAAAAGTCTTCTCTATTTTTTTAAATTCCGTGTTGAGTTCACATAAATTGAAACTGAGGGAGGGAGTAACAAAAACTAGATCATAGTTGTTACACAGCCATAGGAGTATCATTAGGACCCTCGAATTGGCAAGTCTGACCAAATTATTACAGATACTAGGGAAAATATTTTTTTAATTAGCAAACTTATTCCTACTTTATTTGCTATTAAAGGTGCAATTGTGAACAAATGTGGAACTGGGTAAAGAAAATATCAGAACACTGAAAATATAAGTTTTCATGTCTTCTCTTTAATTGGTAAAGAAACTGTAAAGTGAAAACCCTAAAGGATAAAAGGAGAAACATGAAGACAATAAAGAGAATTGACATCTTTTTAGGAGTATAAAAAACTTCTTTCTATGGGATTCCTTTCAAAGTTGAAGATACATATAATTGTATGATTATTCCACATTAAAAAGGTAAATCTAGGTCATTAGTCTAGTTAAATTAATTGCTTAAATCTTACCTTCCCAAATGGGGAAACAAGTTGGTGAAGGGCTGTTATCCTGTCCCCCAATTTTTCCTTTCTCACCTGTTTTCAAACGGCAAAAGAATTACATAAATGGGATTGATCACAGAGATGATAGATTTTTGTGGATGTAAAACAGATAAGAGATTATAGTGATAATGGTAAGGAAAAGAATCACCATGTTTGAAGGTACAGACAATCAAGAAAGACAACAGTGTTGTGACAAAAATGAGAAAGAGATAGATACGGATTAGCTAAAAGGTAGTATTAGAAAAATTATGTTTAAAGTGGTATTTTGATTGGTTTATTATTTACCTTGAAGGTAGACTGAGTTGAAGATGGTTGAACCCTAGCTTTCTTATTAGGTGCCCCGCTTGTAGCTCTACTGTTGCACTTCGCGAAAAGGCAACAAAGAAAGAATTAGTCACTCTTAATCTCCAATTATCGATCTCAAACTAANCGGATTAGCTAAAAGGTAGTATTAGAAAAATTATGTTTAAAGTGGTATTTTGATTGGTTTATTATTTACCTTGAAGGTAGACTGAGTTGAAGATGGTTGAACCCTAGCTTTCTTATT